TTGTATGAAAACTACTAGAAATCATTGAATTATATTATCTAAAATGGCAACACAAACAATTACAAAAATAGTAAATACATTTTTTTTTTATAAAAATTAAATGACAAACAAAATTACAGTCCACCTGATGGTAAGTGGATACTGCAATACATGAGCACCTGCAGCCAACTTCAAAAAAGAATGCTACAGATTCGTTGTCACCGCTGAGTACTAAGATGGAATGCCTCACAGTTTGTAATTAAACTGGCTGTCTTTACCCTGCAGACTAAAACACAGCAGTGCACGCACTGCTCTTTGGCGGCGGTAATGACCAGCAGTCATCAGCCCCCTTCTCTTCTGTACATAGTAAGAAGGCCATAAAAGCCCTCCGTGAGCGCCACCACCTGCCAGACCGCTGCTCCTGCAGACGTGATGTAAGTGTAAGGCATCCCCATCAATTGCATAGTCAGCACGGCTTTTAGCCGCAGAGCGAGCATGAGTCTACTGCTCACCTCAAGGGAATGGGGTTCCACGTTGCACGGTTTTCAGCCGCAGCCTTGAGAGCCTAATCAGATTCTCCCTCTAGCTGCCCGTCGCATGAGGTCGACACATATGCTCCACCAACCAATACAATTGCAGATATAGGCAATAGGCAGTTATAAGATAATAGTAATAGTTCACCATCAGAAAGGGTTTGTGTCACTGACCTTGAGTATATGCATATGCCGCTCTCCCATAGTAAGGAGGATTTGCTTTAATCGTCACACTTCACGCAGGCAAATTAACGATCGCTGTAATAGACGTTCCGCATAGGCTTTGGCAAAAAATATCGATATTTTTTAATAATGTGGTTGGTTGTAGTTTTTTTCAGCGTCCAACCGGCAGTAATATAAAATTTTGGACCTTTTCTTTACATTATGCAAATGATGACGATACTTCGATATTTATCACGCGATATATACCATTAATGTTAAAAATATCGATTCGATATATATCGATATATTTTTTCCCTTGCCCATCCCTAGTTCCGCAATTTTGACGCCGCTATCCGTCACCGGATCGCATATCTCATAGATTACTTACTTACTACTTACGATTTCAACGGGAAGAAATGGGGTAATAGATTATTTACGCTGCCAACAAACTGCACTAGACTGTTACTGCCCATTAAACCGGAACTCAAAATTCGCGGTGCCCTGTTTATTAGCGACAGAAATCCACCATGAAACATTTCTAGGTAGAAAAAAATCCCTTCTAGATAACATAACAAAATCTTTCTTTAACAGAGTTTCACGTGGTAAGTCGTGATGCATCTCTTAAGTCTTCGTTTTTATAGTAAAATATGAAAATTTGTGAAGCGACTTCACGCATTGAATATACCATGTGAAAAGAATATTGGTAAGATAATACTTACTCTACAATATATTTTAAGTATAGAAGAGGGGCAAACGAGCACTCGGCTCATCTGATGGTAAGTGTACATGTACAACTGCAAGACCAGGGGAATAGGTGCGTTGCCGGCCTTTTAAAAAAGAGTAAGCTATTTTCTTGAAGGTCCTTAAGTCGTATAAGTCCGGAAAAATCGCTAGTGGTAGCCGATTCCACAATTAAGTTGTGCGAGGAATAAAATTTCTTGTAAATCGCACAGTGGTGGACCGCCAATCATCCAGACGGTATGGATAGTATCGCGAGTTTCGTCGCGGTGTGCGATGGTGAAATTGAGCGGCTGGAATTAGTCCGAACAATTGCGATAAAATACGCAGAGATGCAACATCTCTTCGCAGTGCCAGTGAGTCAAGCAGATCAGAAAGAGCTCGATCGCCGACTATTCGAACCGCTCTGCGCTGGATGCGATCAAATGGAAGGAGCTGGCACTGGAAAGCCCCGACCCAGAGATGGGAACAGTATTCCGTGTGAAACCAAACCTGCGCCTTGTAAAGTTGCAGGCGGTGTGCTGGCATGAAATACTGTCCTGATACTGATACTGAGAAATATTTAGGTTATCAACGCACTCTGAAGCGGGCTGTCACACGCTTCTTCGATTAATCTTTCCATCTCCTCATTATATCGGAAGCTATCAACAGAAGGACATATTATAGTGCTGTAAAAGCGCAAACATAGAGGAACACACTGTCAGTGTCATGAGGTCACGAGATAAGCCGCATCAACGTCCCTACCTCGCAATGACCAATGCCAAAACAGTAGCACAAATATTTATACCTGGCTGAGCTTTGAACTTACAGAACTTTACAGAAGTGTATTCTCGATATTACAGTAGTTATTTAAATAAACATTACCTACAACTATTTTGTGTATATTGTTTCAGAATAACACTGGCGCCAGTTCTAAAAATAAGTCATTAATTTCCCAAGCTAATACAGTCATTAAACTGTCCCATGGTTTCATATTTTCACTTACCTAAATATTAAATGACAATTGACATGCTAATCAGGTGTATTGTAAACTTTTAGAACATGTTTTATTGTGTTATTTAATACTAATAAATGTACCGTAATAAGCTTTTTTTATTTTCGTTTCTATAGTGTACAATTATATCGCATATAAAACATATAACATTATTAAAACTCCTCAAACGAGGTGCATCATCGTTGCGAGTTTGAGCTATAGCAAAGTAGTAAGTACGGGCATCGGTAGCTTAGGGAAATTGCATGCCTCAACATTAACGTATGGCGTTATTTCATGCACACTTGATAAATCTCCGATTATTCGGAAGTTAAACGATCAAAAGTAAGAACACATCAGGCACGCTGGGCCACAGTAACTTTTGGGCATATCATCCAACGTTTCGACGTACAAGAAGAGGGAAGCCGGGAATTAAATTGGTGGTTGCTTAATATCCTGCACAATCAGTAAGGGTGCTTTTATCTATCATGGTATGATTTTGTTCACGTAATTCTTTTCAGGAGATAAATAAAAAAATACCTACACAAAAACAAAATTTTATTAAGTGGAGGTTTCGGCGAGAACTCTACTTTCGGCAAACTGCTGCAAAAATAATGGTTTCATAATCATTATACTATGAAGTTTTGTAAACAAAATACAAATCAGACTAGGCTGTATGGTCTATGACTTTTGCCCGACTTAAATGGCAAATCGTAACCTGCGTTAAAGGGGTAACTGAGGGGTAACCACAGAACAATTGCGTTAGTTATTGTTCTGAGGGAGTAACTCACATGGCAATACAGTCAACGCGGCCGACGGGTAACAATACCGCTAAAACGTAGTCATTTCAACTTTTGCAACATCGTCACACGTTCAAAGATACCGTCGCCTTTAGAGTATATCATGCTTTTTATGGAAGAGGAGGCAAACGAGCATGCGGCTTACCTCGTAAGTGATCACCTTCGCCCATATCTGCAACACCAGGGGAATTGTAAGTGCGTAGGAAAGTGCCTATTCCTTCCTAAAAGGCCGGCACCTTTTAGGAAGGAATAGGCACTTTCCTTCCTAAAAGCGTAAAATAGCAGCTTAACGCTGCCGTGTTTCGTATGGTGAGTGTAGAGAACCGGAGACCCTTTTTACTGGAAACGAGGCATTCCATCTTAGTCCTCACGGGTGACAACGCATCTGCATTTTGACTCTTAATCGAAGATAGATGTAGATGTCTATGGGCCACAGCGACCACTTACCATCAGGTGGACTGTGTGTTCGTTTGTCACCCTTCTACCTATAAAAAAAAACTTTCCTTGATGGTCCCTAAGTCGTATCGGTCCGGAAAAACCGATGGCGGCAGTAAATTCCACAGCATGGTCGTGCGAGGCAGAAAATTTCGCGTAAATTGCACAGTAGTGGACCGTAATGATGAAGATAGAATTTCGAATTCTGTCGCAGTGTACGTTGGTGGAATTCAGCAGCTGGAATTAATCCGAGCAATTCCTCTGAACAATAACAGTGGTATATCCGGTAGAAGTAAGTAACCAGTGGATCAAGTTTATTCATTAATCAGTGGATCATTTCGAAAACTCTGAGATTTCCCATAAAATCGGAAGGAAATACAGAATAACATAGTAAAAAAAACAACATAGTATTTTCAAATCAATAGACAGATACAAAATCTATAACTAAATACTCCTATTTTAGAGGTTTTCAAATAACTTGGCAACTTTAAGGTAGAAATCTGGTAAAATAAATCTCACAAATGAAATAATTCTGTAACAGCGGCATCTACAAGGTTTTGGCAAGTACTACATCGACCTGCGAAGCCGACTTAGTTCACGCTGTTATTAATGCCGCATAGGCCTTGACTGAACTAAACGCGACGCGTAATAGCGGAAGGTTATCATTTGAAGTAAATTATTTTAATTTATAGAAGCGTAATCTAGTAACGAGACTAATTCTAATAAAATTTTTAGGATTTTAGTTGTATAATTCTTATAAATAACTGTTCTGTGGGGTCTACAAAGGTGGCATGTGCGGACCTGATGTGGACCTCTGGGACTACACAGATTAATAATGATTGTCGTTACTGTACTTACCCCTTTCGAAAAGGACAAGGTTTTCTTTACATTTAAGTAGTGAATGTCATATACTATTTGACACTCACACTACTATTTGATTTGTATTACCGTAGTAATGATTTTATTTCATACATTATTACTAGGGTAATACAAATCATCTACCACAGCACTAAAAAGAATTTTAATGTCTGCTCTTTCAAGCCAATTTATAGCCACAAGACTTTATATAGCCAGTTTATCAGTTAGTCTTCGCGATGATTATAATATACTTATTGAAGTGTTTTTATATTGTGGGGACCAATGGTGCGACTGAATAAGTGAAATAAGTTTATCAAATATATATTTATCTTATTTATACATTTCTTAAAATAAAATCTACAGTTTGTTTCAGCTCAAATTGAAAAGTCCTGCTTCGCATACATCAATTTTGTCAATAATTAAAAAAGGGTATTTAAGACACGAAGCTAACAAATGCATTATTTTTGCTTAACTAACAATTGCACTTGTTTTATAATATTCTGATTTGATAAAGATTGTCGTACTTTAAAACTGCAGCCTTTTAGCAAGAGAACCGCCATCAATATTATCCAGTAGTTTTCTTTTGAGTGATGGTTTTTCAGTTTCAATTTTAGATATATTTGATGGCATAGGGAGCTTCGAACCCACGCTCGGCGCTGGCTTATTGCTGCAAAATAAATCATTTTTATTATTTATGTCCTAGCTTGACAGTTTGGTCAGCACGTTAATTGCATAATGCATGAAGTATAGTTAAAGCGCTGCGCAAACGTAGACACTTTATGTTAGTGACACGGCACACCATCGGCGACGACGTCTACGTCAATATTTACAGGCAAATCAACCACGTCAATGTCAGCGCCGTACAATTGTAAGGAAATTTGCTTTGTGTTGCTTGTGTCTTCAACTGACGACTTAGTTTCCAGTTACCTACACCGAACACTTTTGGATTGGCGGTCGGTATGTGTCAAGTAGAAGCAACTGGACACAAAAAGTGTCTGCGTCTGCGCAAGGAATGGCCGATTTCATATTGATTACATGAAAATGAAATATTCATTTGTTGGTAGCTTGTATCCCACACAAGACACAAAAGTGTCTAGGTTTGTGCAGCGCCTTAAACGCACAATGTGTAACAAAAGTGTTGGCCAATTTATAGTCATTTGATCAAACGAAAGTATTTCTGTTTCAGTTGACTCTTTTTAAATTTTAGCAAAGGTTTTTTTTCTATATTGCAAAGTTTGACTTGTAGGCAAATCTATATTTTGTGTCGCTAAAACTTACACATTAAAAAAGCAAAAAGCAAATTTTTTAAACTTCATTTTGCGGAACTTTTTTTTAGCTTCATTTAACTAAACAACTAGATGTTAGATTAACTGACTGATTAAACTATCATACTGCAACATATGTAACAATATCCACCTTATATAATTGAGCAAAGTGATGCTATTACATGTGGTTTTATTACACATACAATAAAAAGGTTTTTTAAGGCAACTTCCTTATTGCTAAATATTGCTGTTATTACTTCTGACCAACAATATTTCCCTAAGTAACAGGAGATGAATAATTTGTGTTTTGCACAAATATTTTTTTCTTAACTATGGAATATTTTTACCTCCATGCCTCTCACCCAATCATCATCTGATGGTAAGTAGTGATGTAGCTGATGACTTAGTATTACAAAAGAATGTTCACTCTTGCCTTGAAGACACCCACATTGTAATTGAGCTGGGATTTGAATCAGGTGGGATACGAGTCAGAGTGCCTAGTTTTTTTTTTAATTTAAAATAACCTTTCGTTTTCGTTGATTGACTGTAAGTAGTATGTACTTACAGATAAAACTTATTATTTTGGTAACTTAAAATAAATTAAAATGAAAACAAACTGAAGTCATCGTAAAGGACAATGTCTAAACTCGCCTAAGAACCAACAGATATTTGACAATTACCAAAATTCTTATCATTAATTATGCATTAGATAACATTCATTAGACACTCTTGCCTTGAAGACACCCACATTGTAATTGAGCTGGGATTTGAATCAGGTGGGATACGAGTCAGAGTGCCTAGTTTTTTTTAATTTAAAATAACCTTTCGTTTTCGTTGACTGACTGTAAGTAGTATTTACAGATAAAAATTATTATTTTGGTAACTTAAAATAAATTAAAATGAAAACAAATTGAACTCATCGTAAAGGACAATGTCTAAACTCGCCTAAGAACCAACAGATATTTGACAATTACCAAAATTCTTATCCTTAATTATGCATTAGATAACATTCATTAGATAGTAACAGACACTTCTGAATTGTGAATTGAAATTGAAACTCAAATATATTATGAAAACGTTTATATTTTAAAATATAAATGCGATTAATATATGTCACAAGGAACTGGGGTACAGTGAAATCATCTATTTTCATTTAAAATAACAATACTATTTTACTCTCCTTGGCAAATTAGCATTGTGCCACGCAAAAAAAATACAATAACGTTGACAAATTAATGACAACGCGTCAAAACTAAAAATAAATAGACGTCAGGTGTGCAATCGTTTTGGTTTAGTTTGAAAAAAAAACAAAAAATACATTTCTGCAAATGTTTTCGGAATCTAAGTGCACTGTGCAGTTGGTTTGTTATGCGATAAGTTTTTATAAATTACGACTCGGCTTGAACAACGGATATCGATACTTTTCTTTAGCGACTTACCTGGCTTGAATCACGGACTTTAACCAAATGAGACTGTATAAGTTGTATTTATTTGGTATGAATAAAATAAATACCTAATCCCAATCTGAGTTTTATTTACCGTATAAATGCTAGGCTGAGACTGAACTGCTTCCATTAGCAATAACATAGTAATGTTTCATAAAAATAAAACATAACCTCAAAATCTCTATGATATATATATCTGCTAATATCTAAGTTTTCAGAAGTGTCCGTCAGGAGTTATTGTTCTTACATACAATTATGTGTAATTTCGAACTTAAAAAGGTATTTTCTTTCACTGTTGATTCTTAGGCGAACATTGTATGGACGCAGAACAATGTCCTTTAAAAGCAAGCCTCCCTACAACAGAGGAGGCCTGATTTGACAGGCTGATGAAGAATAAGAAAAATAAATTTGTGAACAAGTCTTCAAGAAGTAGTAATTTGATACAGAGACACACACACAAACAATTGTCATCAATCTACATTATTTATACAATACCTGAAGTATGGCATTTGCAATGCTTGTGTGCAATCACAGCGGTTAGGTGGATAAAGTGCAAGCAGACTTTCCAGCAGTTGAAGTAGATCATCGGAAGCCGCGCTGAATATATGACGTAACTGTTGCGGCGGGAACAGCTTGAACTGCACATAGTCTGTTAGACCTTTCATGCCCTGGAAGTCATCAAGAAATATATTATACATAACTGAAACCCAAATCAATCTTATATTTTTGGCTATAATGCTTGGATGCTGAATGGAATAAATATTGTTAATTATAGGCCCACTACAACAATAATTGTGCTAGGTCTGGGTACATAATATTAAAGCCATTAACTTATATAATAATATAAGTATATCCAATACTTTTCCATTAGAAAATAAAATAAATCTATTGCTCTTTTATCTTTCTCATTCATCAATTCATTACAGTCCTTCATAAGTCCACTGCTGAACATAGGCCTCTTACTATACTTTTAGCTACATGATTCACTGTTTAAGACAATGTCAATAACAATAAATCTTTAAGTGCAATTTTTCAAAACATAAAAAAACCACAAATACATACTGACAACCTTTGTAAATAAGGAAAAACCACTGACCTCTATATATACAAGTATGCGGAAAACACATTTCCAAGTTATGTAAAGACAGTGTAGAATCTGAATGATTTTACTTAATAAGATAATTCAGGAGAAATATTAAGATAATCTGGTGGTTCCAAACACATGATGGAATAAGAATCTCATTAATACACAGACAAAAATGTCTAGACCAATGGCATAGAGTAGTGGTTCAGAAAAGAAAGGTCAGGTACTACAATTGTCAAGCAAATTATCAATACCCAACACTTAATTACTGCAATGTTATATTTACTACTCACCGGCCAATTCTCTTCAGTTGGTGTTCCAAAGACCTGGAAGATGCGTGAAAGCTGATCTAAGTCTGATTCTCCCGGTAAAAATGGAACCCTAAGTAATAATTCTGCTAGTATGCATCCAACAGCCCACATGTCTACTCCAGTTCCATATTGTCTTGCGCCAAACAATAACTCGGGAGATCTGCAAAGACAATGTTTTTAATTCTAAGAAACAAAGTTAAATAATAACCGATTTCTGGATGTGTATTAATTATTGCTTAATAATCGAAATAAATTTTTCTAATATTAAATGACTCATTATATGAGACATCCTATATGTGGGCAATATTAATAATAACAACATTAACTAATATGGCTCATTTTAATTTATAAATAATTATGTTGTCTCTGCACCACAAAAAAAAGCCCGCCCACCAAACTCCTTCTTTCTGGTATGAATCTTTGAAGTATATTTCAACACTGACCATTGTAAGGAGTTGACATTTATTCGAACCTATGAAAATTTGGTTGTCTTCAAGGCAAGAGGCCACCATCATTTACCATGTTCGACTAGAACAACAGTTACAAATTGGTGGAAAAGTAGTTGGGCACTGGGCTTATAAGTTAAAACAAATAAGTGATGCATTTTATGTAATGAATGTCTGAATAATCAAAGGAATGAAAATAAATGCTTGAATAATAAGAAAAACCACGAGATGTTTTATTCAATTTGATGCTTTGGTTATTACTATAATTGACTCTTTAGAGTTAATCTGCTCTCAAGCATATTGTAAAGAGTTTTCTAAATATTTGCATTGAAAATATTTGCAAAAAATAATGGACCTTTTTGACGTAGTTTTTAAGAGTAGGGTAGTAGTGCGTGACTATGAATGAATCCTTTCTAATTATTCGACATTATAAATTCAGATATACATAGGGTTACTACATAATGGCATGCTGTAGTGCCGGATTCTACAAAGACATTAATTTTCGTAAGATTCACGGGACAAAGTAACACCATGCGTTAAATATGTGGTAACGTGGCGCATAGTGCCGTGGCTTGTATCGTAACGCTACGGATTCATCATCTTTAGCAAATCCAGAAATAGTATACTGGATAAATACCACGAATAAATATTAAAAACGAAGAAGTGGCATAACTCATAATTTGTATAGGGACCACTGTTGCCAAACTCATTAGTAGGAAAGAAAAGTGTACTGGCAGTTGTACAGTTTCAATTATTTTCACGTGATTGGCTATTAAGAAATAATAGAGGAAAGCTTTATGTTTATTGGCAATCAACTTAAGTGCAAACTGTAAGTGCTTATTAATACAGATAAATTTTTTTAATCTAGAAAGTTTCCAGGATTGTGATGTCAGTAATGCCACTATCAGTTTGAAAATGCACCATATGTTGGTACATATAGAGACCATTATATCTTTTTATCCAAAAGATTTGAATCACTGCCTCTTTCCATTCACCATTGCCATACATTCCTGCATGAGATTTGATTGACTTGAGTCTTAACTGACTGGACATTGACAGAATTCATTACATAAGAGATTACCTTAAGTAAAAAAGGGATGCCTTGCTACTGGTTTTAAAGCTGCTTAGTGATATATTGTAGCACCAGCCATATGTGACAGCAGTACTTCATGTTCACTTAGTAACTAAACAGGTTAATGTTACCCTTTGCATGTAAAAATTGAAAAGTTAATACCTGTACCATCTCGTTACTACTTGATGTGTGTTTATTCTGGTTGGTGATCCAAACGCTTTTGCCAGACCAAAATCACCAATTTTCAATATTCCTTCCCGATTTATAAGTAAATTGTTAGGTTTCAAATCTCTGTGCAGAATCCAATTTTGATGCAAGTATTCCAGTCCTTTTACAGAAATTCACATACTTGATTATTTTTATAATGTCAAAAATCAATCACAGAGCTGAATCAAGTTTCATTTTCTTTTGTTCTTTCAATAAGCTTTACAAATTGTATAAAATTCCAAAAGCTTGAAAACAACTCCGAGGACAGTATTCAAATACAATTTTAAGTTTAAACTCTAACTTTGCAATGTCAAAATTTAATTCTACATCATATTATGCTACACAAATATAAATATTACAAAAATTTTGGGAATTCAAATATGAAATTATCTCTAAATATGGGCCTAAGATTGTACAACTAGGCCAAAACAATTAGGCGCATGACAGGAATGCAGTTTTGGCGCCTGCACCCTGCCTCTATCCCCGCGGCCTAGTGACCAATCACCGTTCAAGTGTTCCCTCCCTAATTCTAATACGTCTTAGCTGTCATGTGCCTAATTGTTTTGGTCTTTTTTAAATTTTACTATATTAATATTATGACAATTTTTACCTTTCAAGGTCATAATCATATAGGCCTTAACATTAGCTGGAGTAAGTACAATATTGCTGTCCTTCACTATTATTTCTAAATCAGTATCCATAAAGTCAAACACCAAGGAAACATTAGATTTTTGTCCAAACACATCTGAAAATTTTATATTTTCATGAAATATATTTCATATACACTTGCCTACTGTTATTACTAGGATTATTAAATTATTAATAATATTAAATGACATTATTAAAACATTAAACTTATAAAAGTAAAGAGCCATAAGTATTAAATATTTTTTTAATACTTATGGTGCTAAGACATAGTGTATAGAAGAATTAAAACCTTTTTGAGTGGACCAAATAATATCACAAGTTCAAGCTAGAAATATCATTTACACATATCAAATAGTTACATTAACAAATTCATTGCCTATTTTGCAACCCTTAGGAATAGAATTTTGTCTCCAATTCAATATGGGACCCCCTAAAGTACAGCCTATTTAATTAGAGGAGAATCATCAAAATCTGTATGAAACTAACACAGGTATTGCATAACACACATACTAAAAAAAAATTAATTTATCTTTGTACACTACATAAAATAACGTTCATATTTTTAATGAGAATGATTTAGCCATTCATTATTTTGCTTGAATGTTGGTGGCAAGAAAGTAGAATAATCCAGTCCAGTTGATATTTATCTATTTCTCCAACATCAGATAACACATAATCATATAGGCTCTTCTCTATCTCACTACAATTTTTTTTTATAGTATAAGGGTGACAAATGAGCAAACAGTCCACCTGATAGTGAGTGGATGCTGAAGCCCATAGATATCTACATTTAACTTCGATTAAGGATCAAAATGCAGATGCGTTGTTACCTCTGAGAACTAAGAATTCCTCATTTCCAGTAAAAAGGGTCCCCGGTTCTCTACACTCACCATACGAAACACAGCTGCATTAAGCTGCTATTTTACGCTGTTATTCTGTGAGATACAATGACTCATCATATTGAATCTGTATCTAATGTTAACTTTATGTGAAAATAAAGCAGACAATAAGGGAGAAAAATTGCTCCATACTGGATTTTACTCCAAATTGACTCAACAGATGGATACTTCAAAAACATTAATCTATAACATGTAAATCACATATTTAAAAGTATTAGAGGCACATTTTAAAGACTTGATTACAATTTGAGGTTATAATACAATAATATTCCATAACAATTTAAGTTTCTCTTTCTTCAATTTGATTTCAAATACCAATATTTCGGTTATATTTTCTTTACAAAGGTACAAGGGCATAAGTTTACAGCCTAAGATACGTTTAATAAGTTATCACTTCCATACTGATAGTAATAGTTATGTGACTCAGTAGTCAGCATCATTCTATAATGAAATTCATTGTTAAAAAAGGAAATACACCAAGAGAAATTTTGGAGATGTCATTAGTTATTTAAAATTCTGGGCCTTCATATACAATGGTAAAAATTGGGCTCACTTATCCCAACAAGGAAGAGAGACCTGTGAAGACATCCTCCACTTGGGGCAAACAATGCAGATAGGCAAATATAGAATTAAACCAAAAAATGAATTGGAGAAATTTTAAATGACATTTGTTACTCATTTCACTTGACAAGCAACAATGACTGGTAAGTTTTAATCATAATTTTTTTTATTGTGTGAGTTTATTATGAAATTTGTGACCAGATTGAAACCGTAGATGAATTCTGGACATCAATATGATAATTGAATTTAATTAATGAAAAATTTGCATCTAGGATTATGTCAACAATTTTATGGGAAAGCGAGGGAATTTTATTAATTGATTACTTACCTAAAAGGATTACAAGGAATGAACAACAATATGCAAATTTATTGGATTAGACACATAAAGGAGTCGTATAAAAGAGATGTGGTAAATGCAGTGTGCTGTTACTGTAAGACAACACCAGTCCATGCCACTAGAGTTACAAGACAAACTAAAAGACACAGGATTTGCAGAAACTGCCCACACAATGTATAGTCCAGTGGCTCCCCAATGACATCTTACTTTTTTAGAAAATTGAAAGAAGAGTTAAGGGAACAAAGACATTCCAATGACAGTGAGATGAAGGTGGCCATAGAACATTTTAAAGATCAAATTATAGATTATTTTTTTCAATGGATTAGAGGCATAATATTAACTGTGGGAAAAAAACCTCACTCAATGGAGATTATATTGAAAATATAATAAAAATTAATCTTATTATACTTTCAATAAGTACCTTAGGCCACGTACTTAGCAACCAATCATATGTTATAATAACTTGGGTTTAGTAAGTTACATAAAACAACCTAGTAATCCAATGAGATTAATATGCTCCAATTCTTGTAAAAGTTTAATCTCTCTTAGAGCAGTCCGATTGATTCCATCCTGGGCTTCAAGCCGAGATCCAATTTTAATTTTTTTAACGGCAACAATTTTATCAGTTTTCACATCTCTAGCCTTATAAACTGTAGCAAACTGTAAAAAAAAACAAAGATTTTGGTAGATATATTCTTATCGGATTCTAGAATATAACTATACATTTAATTGATAAAAAACATACTACAGATTTAAATGAAAACTAAAATATTAATAAATTTACCTGTCCCTCTCCCAGAAAGTCAATCTTCTCATAACGTAAAGTTGGTTCATTCATGATGCACTATTAAAGATGCGTTAAAAGATGTGAATTCATCCTATTCCTATACAACTGATAAATCCATGTTATGAATAAGGGTGTTGCGTTTCAAAATAATGGATTTAATAATTAAAATTGCATCTTTTTTTAAAAGTACACGATAACGTCGACAACACAAACTGATTAAAAATTTAAAATTTGACATATATTTTTTTTTTACATTTTTTGTTAAGATTTTTGGCTTGGATGCTTGTTCTTTAAGGCATATCTTCATTTCATTCGGGATCTTCGTTATTATAGATTTTTTGTATGAAGTGATAAAAATCCTTTATGGCGGCTCTTCACGTTGGCCAACATAGTGGCGAATGTGTTGGCAGAGATATTGGCCAAGAATTTTGATCGCATCCACACGTTGGAAAGTCGTTCAGTTTGCTTTGGTTCAGGCCAATGTGCAGACGAATTTATTAAAATGATTATTGATGCGCTAACGGCTGCTGCGGTTTATTTATTAACAGCATACCACTATAACGTGAATGTGTATAAGAAAAACGTGATCGAAAAGAAATGAAAAAAAAAGAAATTTTATTTCTTGACGACTCCGTGGCGTAGTGGCTTAGCAAATGAGTTGCTGCGTTGGGGGCTGTGGGTTCGTATCTCGCACGGAACAAGTATTTGTATGGCCTGCAAATAATTGCTCCGGGTCTGGATGTTTGTCCTTATGCAATTTATGTTTGTAAACTGCCTCCACGATAAATCCCAGTGTGGGGATAACGTTTATTAAAAAAGACTTAAAAAACTTATGTTTCACAAACAATTTCCGGCTTGATAGGGCTCTATAAAGCGAAAAGTTTTGTCGTTGTTACTGCCATTATGTAGAAACTAGTTACGATACGTACATATAAAATTTAAATAAGGTGCGTGCGATCACTCTGGGAGCTCGTAGCAAACTGAACGACTGAACGTGCGCCCTAGCGATGAGCGTTGAATCAACGAACTAGTTGAATCAACCGTTGATCTCCTGTCAACGTATTAACGTTTACCGTTTATGAATCAACTAGTTGAATTCGTCAACGGCGTTTATGAATTTAACTCGTGCGTCTCGTTAATGCAGCGAACTGAGCAAATTAAAAAACTTACCTTGAAAATAACGTCATAGATTGCGAGCGATGGTCATGTCATACAATTTGAACTCTAAGTAACCCAAAAAAGAGTTTATTTTCGAAATGTTTATTTTAAGAATAGTAATTATGACGATATTGGTGGAATGGCGCGCCCCGCTGGTGCCCTCCGAGAGAAATAGGTTACTGGTTAGGATACTAGTATGTTTATATATTATACAACGGTATGTAGGAAGTTCGCTTTCTTTAATTTTTTGAATAACAGTTTGTGACAAGTTGCACGGAAGGTCAGAAGATATTTTAGAGTTTAGACTTTTTAATTAATGTTTATAGTAACAGGGTAAATTTGTTTGTGTTAATATTATTTTGTATATTTGCATAAAATAGGACTACTTAAGGTACAAAATTGAAAATTTCGGGACGTAATGGGGTAACATTGAATCGTAGCTGTATTCAAAAAATGAAAAAAAAAAACAAAGCTACTTAGAAAAAAACATATTGTAAATAATAATTGATTTCCGCACACAGAATCAGATGATCTTTTAAATAAGCCTGAGTAGGATATAGTTTATAGCTAATTGTATTCAATCAGTCCTAAGCCTAAGGAAAAGGTATGAAGTGAAGGTCATCTAAGTAGAACCATCATACAAACGTTTTCCAATACATACATTGAATCAAATTGTTTCTAAAATTGAACGTCGTAATGTTGAATTAAAACCGTTCAATGAATTAACGGTTTACGTTGCAAGTTGACATTAGTAGTACGTTAATTCGTTGACGAATTTAACTAGTTGACAAACTTAAATCAACGTTAACGTTTCGTTAACGGAAAAATCGTCAACGACCCATCGCTGGTGCGCCCTACGTGTGGACGCGACGGCCAATACTCTGCTACAACCCTTTGATCTTTTGCAAAAAACCGACACCACACGGATCTCGCGCCAACTTTTGGGCCATCGTTCCAATACATATCAACGTAGCTTAAACACCCGCTCTACACGATGGCCATCGTTATTGGCCAACACATTCGCCAGTATGTTGGCCAACGTGAAGAGCCGCCATTACATATAGTAAACTGATTCACAATATGTTGATGTGTTACACTAAGCAGCTTCAGTGCTATTTTGATTAAATTTTGACGGCAACGTGACAGTTGGCGATAGTATCTCGAGGCGCCTAAGTAGACAATCAACTTATCTTGAGATTCACATCACCACTCACCATCGGAGCACTTGTTTCATAGGTTTTTACACGCGCGGAAATTTAAGACGACAAAATCGCACCACTTTTACATATCAAAATCCACTTCAAACCATTACTTAAACAAAAATACAGGAGCAGAAATCCGCCGCTGGTCAAGTTCCCGCCACTACATCACAGAACACATGTACCCTGACACTACATATTTATTTATCTATGGCCAAAACTATTTTTTTTTTTGGAGTTTATGGCCTAGTATCTAGACCTTTAGGCCAAGTCTTAAGTATTTTTATTCGGTTTATTGTAATTTTCCCACTCCTTCATAGTATACTGCTTCACAATATGTTGATGCGTCACATTGTGCAGTTCTTGGGAGATTTTGGCGGCAACTTGATCCAGCAGACAGCTGATAGTTGGCGATGGTATCTAAAGGTGCTTATGCAAACAAACAGCTTATCTTGAGAATCCATCACCATCAGAGCACTTGTTTCACTGTTTCCACTAATAGTTCACATGCGTAGACACTTAATACACAAAATCGCAACAGTTTTACATATCAAAGTCCACTTCAAACCATTATTTAAACAATAATACAGGAGCAGAAATCCGCCGCTGGTCAAGTTCCCGCCACTACATATTTATTTATCTATGGCCAAAACTCTTTTTTATTTTATTTACTTAAAATCATTGTTGCCAGCTGTTAATGTGCTTATTTGGCTTATTTGGATATATTGCTCATGGAGTGTAGAGATACCTCTACACTCCATGGGCTGTCCGGTGAGGAGTAGCCATACGCAGGCGTTCTTCTGTGTCAAAGTATAAGTCCACACGATCCTATGCGTACAATAAAACTAATTGTAATCACACTGATCGCTAGACAAAATTTAGTTGCGCGACTAAATTCACGTCCTACAAAAATGCCGAATTGTTCAGTTTTTTATTGCAAAAAGTGATCTGCCACATCAAATTTACCAAAAGATAGCTTAATCTTTCAAATGTAAGTAACTCTTAATGACATAAGTAGGTACTATTTATTTACAATAATAACGGTCCATATTAACGTTCGTGTTGTTTCAGATTCGTTCAACAAGACACGCCGCTCGCCCTCATACAATATGAGGTTTGGTCGAGTAACTGATCGGAGTCTGTATTCGAGTTGTCGCTATCACCCTTACACCATTTAACCCAATGGACACGCCTCACATTAATTTAACCCTCTGGTAAAGTATTGGATTTAAAATCTTGTGCGTTTATAAAAACTGTTTACAGAAAATGTTTATAAAAATCATTAAAAATAATATCATAAATAATAATTGACAACTTTACCGATTGCGTAATCGAGTACGTAATCTAATATATAAAAATTAATTTTTGTGTGTTCGTATTTTACGTGTTGCCATACCGTTTATCAGACGGCGTTAAAACTTTGTCAACATATTGCTTGCACTTGTGCGAATGTAATAGGCATAGTTTAATTAACTTCAGTAGACTTCATAGTAAGTTATACCGAGTGACTAAAAAGTTATCACATAAAATGAAAAGACGTATGCTACATAAATTTCTTTAAACATACACAACTAAAAAAATATATAACAATTAATACATTAGTCGCAGTAGCATTTTTTTCGTTTTAATATTAAATAACATCATGTAAATGCATACAGATATCACCTGATGAATTCTAGAAGATCAAAGACCCATGCCATTTGAAGGCGAATATAGGTAGTTTAAAGGTTGTCAATCCGAACTACTCAAATAAAGAAAAATCAAACAAAAACTGTACTTACGGCTAACAATTTAAGGCATAATTTTATACGCGAAATTAAAAACAAAGGGACCGCGCGCTGCGGGTGTGTGAAAACAAATTCAAGCGAAAAATTTACTTGAAATAATGAAGTTAAGGCATAATTCTCTATGCGCGAAGTGACAAGAAATGGGACCGGGTGTCGAAATTATTATTTTTCTGGCGCGTGCGACGTTTTGTAAGTCACTTCAGGTCAGTAACCTATATATTATCAAGGCTGATTTATTTCTTGTCAATTTTTTACGCTATTTATTTTGTTTGAAAAATGCATTTTTTATTTTCTTTTATTATTGTTTATTTTATTATTTTAATAGACATATATCAACTTGTATTAACTGCTGTGCTATTTAACGTGATAACCTGGGCACCACCCAGTATATCATTCAACTTCAATGAATGTATGATCATTCCCAATTAAACAATATAATCCTTCCAAATTTAAAACAATATTTCAGCAATTATTTCTAATGCGGCTGCAACGCGCCAGGTACCAGCTAGTTTTTCATAAAACCGTAGTAATAATCGCATTATGACAACCACACTCCCCACGATATTATTTGTTTTTTTAAATAATTTTAACCCCCGTACCAGTGGCGTAGCGTGCCTTAGACGGACCCTGTATCGAAATTTATTGGGTGCCCCAAATGAAGAGTAAAGATTTTTCACAAAAGTAACAACAACGAGTGAATTGAAATAAATAATTAATCAATTTATTTGCAAATTTTTCACAAAAGGAGCAATAACGCTCGCATTGAATGAAATAATTATTTATATTGAATTCCTGTCCCATAGAAGTCCTTAAAATTTTTGGTTATACACGTTCGGGGCCCCTGTAGCCCCCGGGTTCGTGAGTTGTCGTATTTCAATCTCCCATCAATTCACAGAGGATATTTTAC